AATGTTACCTCCAGCACATCCTGCTGTGTCTCACCTGTGCAGGTGTTGAAGCACACAGAGTGGTCACAGAGTGGTCACAGACACTAGAGCTGTGCTCCAGAGGAGTCCTTGGCACTGGCAGCCTCCTTAAATAATCCTGTCCAAGTCCACCTTAAACATGCCCTCCCTCCCTGCAGTTTTCCTTCGGGACAATTAAGCGTTCAGTAAGTTAAGAAGTGGAAAAACCTGAGGAAACATCTGTTTCACAGGTGGTGCAGCTGTTTCCTCCCAGGGGTTGTTTTCCTGCAGTTCTGTGCAAGCCTGTGCCTTGGCACAAATGCTCCTGGCTGTGATGGTGACTCACACTTGTATCTAAACATCCAGATTTTACAGTTGTTAAGGGTCTCAGGGGATCACTTGCTGTCATCCCGCAGCCTTGTTGCATGGATGTCCTTGGAAGTGCTGAGTTTCTCACTGTTCATCTGTTCTGAAACAAGGATCCCATGTTTTGATAAATAGGGTTTGGTGTCTTTCTCCTGCAGGCTCTGGGCTGTAACTCTGGTACTGCAGAACTGAGGTTTGCATCCTGCCGAGATCAGGCTTCAGAGTGGCATTTATTTTTTTCCTAGAAGAGAACATATGCTTTTGCTGGCCAGCTCTGTCAGAGCACCATCTCTTTCTGAACTTAAAATGTTAAGATTGTTCTTATATATATATAATATTTACAAAGACATCAGCAGCCACCTCAGCCATCCCAAGTGTCATATCCCATGATAAACTTCAATGTCACAATAAATCCTCAAATACAATAGCTTCTCCCAGAACTAATATAATTGTGTATTTCACAAGCCAACTCTGCAACCATGGACAAAATTTGCCCCCTGCCTGACATCCCTTGTGCTATGGGCACAGCAGTGTGGTCTCGGGGCTGTGCATCTGGCAAGCCAGGCAGAGGCAATCCCAGCTCTGCCGGAGCCAGCAGGTGTTGCCCTGCAGTCAGCATTTCATCACAGGGCTGTGCTGGAGTGAGGAGGGGGTTGTTTTCCTGTCCTTTCCATCCATAGGAAAGGGAAACCATTGCACCCAGGTTGGAGTTAGACAAGTTGAGGCATTGAGCCTTTGCTGAGCTCTGGTGCTGCATTTCTGTGACACTTTCTTTTAACAATTTACAGTCACTACTGTGGTGCCACAGCTGATGCACTTGGACAACAGAGCCAGCAATTTCAGAAGGCTGTTCAGGAGCCCCAGCCCCAGCTCTTCTTCACTTATTAAAGAGAGCCTAGAGAGATTAGGCTACAAATAGAGATGCCTTAATTAATTTTCTATCAATTAGACAGAATGAATCTGACCCTAAATATCCTTCTAGACACACTGAATTAGTGCTATCTTGAACTGAGGTCTGGAAGAGCCCTTCTCAGCTGTTAATTCTCTGGGAACCATGTTGAGCCCCAGAAATATCCAGGGCTGTTTATCTGTCTTGCCCCAAGACACACAGACCAGCAGAACTCCTTCCCAGCCTTGCAGCAAACACAGAGCCTTGAGAGACCTTGGTGGGTTTTTTATTTCTGTTACGAGTAATAAACCACAAATGGAGAAACCACCAGTGGCACTTGAGTCTCGTAGCTGTGTACCAGTGGGAGAGAAGTGAAAAGGCCTAGCCCAACTTAAAAATTGCATTGTATCCTCAGACTGGAACAAAAAGCAGAGAAAGGACTCCTCAATGGCCCTGGATCTGGCACTTGTGACCAGCCTGAGTGTGGGAGCAGGATGCATCAAGCAGGCAGCAGTGGTTGGGTAATGACCAAGGAAATGGAACCCCTATGAGTAGGATAGATCTCACCACCTCTGCTGGGCCTAGTTCATGTTTGGTGTCATCAGGTTAAAAGAGTTTTACGTCATCTGGTCGAAGGAGTCCCAAATGGGAATGAGGGCCTGTCATCCACTCCAGAAGTAACTTTTGCCAGAACTGACCAGCTGTGAGAACACAAACCTGCTGCAAGGCTCCAGAGGCCACTAGTGTGTTCTGGGGATAACCAAGCAGCTTTGGGACAGGAGACAGTTCTGAAGTCACTGAGGAATGGGTACAGAGCACAATTCTCTGTCCCATGCTGCTTGTAGCAGCTTATATTTTGGCTTCCCCAGGCACAGGGACATGGGGAAAGATCCTGCTGAGCCAAAAAACTGTGTGTATGCTTGCCTTAATTTTATTATTTTGGCCTAATTTTAGCAATTATTTAAATATCTGCTTTTCAAATAACTATAAATAACTATAAATTCAGAGAAGCTGCTGGTTGGGCATGGTGACTGAACCCAGAAGAATGTAACAAGGTGTATTAAATACACACTATTCTTTGCCTGGGGGAGATTTTAAGCAGAGTTGACATCTTTATCCCTTCACTTGAGGCAGCTTCTGCCTCAGGTGAAAGGAAGAAATAAAAAAAGGAAGAAATAAAAATTGGTGTTAACTTGGTGTTTCCTGCCTTTGATCATTCTGAGTCACTCAACCATCATGTTCTTCTTTTACCTCTTGGCATGTCCAGCAAGGTTAGCAGCTCAGTTCTAGCATGAGGGGTAGTTTTGGTTCTCCCAGTGCCCTACAAAAGCTTGGACAATGGGTGGAATGAGCTCCCAAAATCAAGGGATCTCCAGCTGATACTTCACATCCTGCTCCTATAATCCAAGAAGTGGCTTGAAGGACTGAGCTTGGTATGTTTTACTGCCCTGGGAAGGTGGAAGCATTCAGGTGGGGGATGATGATGATGATGATGATGATGATGATGATGATGATGATGATGATGATGATGATAAGCTTGGAAAGGATGATTTATAATCAAATTATTCTTTACTTTTGTTGTAGGTTGAAAACTTAATCAGCCATCATAATGTTGGCTTACTGCTGAATATTTCCCACAGAACTCCTGACAAGTGAGTGATGTTGGGATTTTGGATGAACAGTTCATCCGAGGTCACACAGCAGGTTTATGTTAAAGCAGAATTTGGAAGATCACAGTTTGAGGTGCAGCTGCTGCTTCTTATAGAATCAGAGAATGATGGAGTGGTTTGGGTTCGAAAGGAACTTAAGTTCATCCAGTCCCACTCCCTGCCATGGGCAGGCTAACCTTCCACTATCCCAGTGTGCTCCAAGCCCCGTCCAACCTGGTCTTAGACACTTCCAGGGATAGAGAAATCATAGTTTCTCTGGGCAACCTGTGCCAAGGCCTCACCAGCCTCACAGGGAAGGATTTCTTCCTAATATCTGATCTAAACCTGTCCTCTTACAGCTTAAAGCCATTCTCCTTGTCCTGTTGATGCACAAAGGGGGATGTCTTATTCTAGCAGGAGGAATGGATTGAGCAACACATTACACACTGTCCTTTCAAAAAGCCACAAATATGCCATCTTCCCATCCTCAGAGGCCCTGGAGGGGTCAGAATTCAGCTGGGGTTTATATTCTTGCCATGTGAGAAAATGAGACCAGAAGTATGCAGCACTTTATCCCTGTCTTGTTTACAAGCGGCAGGAGAATGTCCTGGGAAATGTGAGCAGCTAATTTTAGGTGACAACATAGTTCAGGCCCTCCAAAAGGAGAAGGAATGTATTTCCAGCCAGACTGCCTGGAGCTTCAAAGTGCCTGAGGGCAGTAGATGTTTATGGCATCTCCAGAACCTGAAATCTTTTGTGTGCAGACATAGTCATCTGGTGTGCCACAAGTAGAGGTGGCTGTCATGGAGGTGATTGCAAAATCCCCCATCTCATCGAAGAGGAGAAGGTACATCTCAGGTGGTTTGCACTGCGCTAATGTTCTCCAGCCCCAAACCCAAGGGGATTTCCAAATGCTAATTAATTAAGAATCAGAGTTTTTTGTTTCCAGTAATGGACACACAGGGAATGTGGAGGCTGATCTGGTGTTGCACAGGAACCTGAAAGGGCCTGGATGAATTGCAGGGCTTGATTCCCAGCTAAACTGCCCTACCCTGGAGGCAGAAAGGAAGGAGGCTGAATTTAAATATCCCACTACATACTCGCTGTGGTTTTTCCCATCTTTTGTCCTGTTTCCCAGCACTCAGCTGGGACTGGGATATGCTGGGGCTGCATTGCACAGTGCCTGGGCTCCCAGCCCGGCTTTGTATTGGCCCATCCTTTGCACCACGTCTCCCCGGGAAAGCTTCCTAACCCTGTCTCCATCTTTCTCAAGTCACTCCATATGTACAGAGGCTCCTGTCCAATACCCAGCTGCTGTGTCCCACCCTGGCCAGCAAGGACTAAGAGTGCCCTCTGCTGCACTCCTGCTTCCGTGGCAGTGCTCTGCTTGCTCTTCGGGAATAAACAAAACTCTTTAACACAAAAATCCAACTCTTTCAGGTTCTAAAGGTCTGCCGTGCTGGCTGTGCACAAGCCTGGTGCTGTATTTCAGCAGCAAGCAGAAAGGATCATGACCCGAAATAAAGATGTGTATGATCCCTCATCCATCCCAAAGCAGTTTGGGGAACTGCTGCCCTTTATGAAAAACTTTCATCCAGGAGTTTTAATTGCCTTGTAAAATACGCAGCATCTCATGCAGGAGTTCTAATCATGAAACTTTCATTCCCCGGAGCTGACAGGCGATGCTCAGCCGGACCTGTACCTGGCAGCACCGAACTACCCATCCCTCCCTCCTGCTCAGACTCTGAACACCACAAATCTCTGTCTGATCACTCCTCAGCTCTTGCAGCCGAAAAGGAGTGCCTGTAGGTAGAGAAAGGGGATCTGTGTCAGGAAATCTGTGCCAAGCTTCATAATCGGAGGTAGAAAGAGGAAAAATTTTAAAATAATAATCCTGCTGTTACTAGGGTTTGATTTACCCACCTGGAAAGTAACCAAGCTGCAGGCAGTGGTGGCAGCCCCATAACTGCCGGAGCTGCAGGAATCCGCCCGTGTTCCCTGGAATTTGGGCATTTTTTGTTGCACCCCTTTGGGCTCAGTTCCAGCCTGTCACTCAGCGTGGGGCCCGCCCCTTCCAGAGGATATTTAAAGAGAAGCTGATGTACAACTTGCTCCAGAGAGACGGGAAACTCAGAAGGAGTGGGAGGGGATGGCCAGCAGCCTGGATCCCTGCCCTTGCAGTACTCAGGATGCCTGGTAACCTGGAGACAGTGACCCGGACCCTGTTCCTACTCCTCTTTGCCCCTGGCTGGGTACGTACGGCCCTGCAGCAGCTCTGCCTCGGCACTGCAGCTTCTTGCTTCGATGCATGGGAGGGCTTTGGGTTGAGAGACTCTTCCTGGCTGCCACCTGCTCCCGAGTTTCTGAGGGAAGCTGGGCTGGGAACAGAGTGATGCAAACGTCCTGGGTAACTAGACCACACTGGGGGCTGCCCCGTGTAACGTGTGTCATCCATGCGTCTCAGAGCTCCTGGCACTTGGGAATGGGTTTTGTTTCCTCCTACTCCTGGAAGCCAGAAATCAGCTCTGGTCTAGAAGTGGGAGAAGAGAGCAGAGAAAGGGGAAATCAGTGAGTTTGTCATTGCAAAGAGTAACAGTCTCATATCCCAGTTCCTTGCCATCACCATCCTTCCCCAGCTGTCACTGAATCCACCCATGCGCTCCCAAAAGCAGTGATCCCGAGGGGAAAATTAGACTGCATCAGCTCCAGAGCAGGATTTGTGCCTGTTTTCCTGTTAATACAAGTTCTTGAGAGAGCAGCTGATTCCTCTTAGGACATTTGAGTGCTGTTCTCATGTCAGCAGCATCAGGAATGTCACTGTCATCATTAAATTGCTGTAAGTGCTTTGTGGCTCAGTGAAACTGGGTTCACAGAACCCCTTGCAGGGCTTGTGGTGAGAGAGGCAATCAGCTCCTGGTTGGTGAGGTCTGTACTAGTGGTACTTAAATGTGTGCCAGTCCCTTTCCTGCCAAGAACATGAACTGGGCTGCAATCTAAGGGAAATAGCTGCCATTTAGGGTGGGCGTCTTGATTCTTACTCTGGCTCAGCTGTGGCTGCGCCATGTAGCTCATATAAACAATAACAAGCAATCCCACCACTGTGACTCTTGGTCACCACTCTAAGATGGGTGATTTTCCATAAACCTCAATGCCAAATGCTCAGAAATGTGACTTTTGACTTTCTTTGAGCACTAGGTTGGATTCAATGACCTTTGATGTCTTTTTCAACCTTAATGATTCTGTGATGCTTTGTGGATTAAGGCAGAAAATGAGAGCTGTTACTCCTGAATCTCTCTCCTGTGTTGTTCAGGGGTGGGAGTAGCTCCAGGATTACTGAGTTGTGTTTAGGCTCATCCTGGGCAGGTGTCTGTATCCCCATGCTCTGTCTGTGAAGGGGGTCCCTGGTTCTTGTCTCTCCTTTGGAAAGGTTCTTGTCTCTCCAAAGGAGCTGCTGCAGCAGCTGTAGGAAGGTGTCTTTAGAGGCTGAGATGGAGAGAGGGCAGGGGTTATCCACAGTCATTTGGAGTTTGAAGGATGAATAGCTGTGTTTTGGCTGCTTAGTCTTGCAGCACTTAAAGAACCAGCTGAGTGTTTATTATATCACCTCTACCATGCAGCATTAACCCCTGGCTCCCAAAGCTCTTTGCAAACACCCAGCTCAGCTGAAAATTCACCTTTTCCTGCCCTCTGAGTGCAGTCATGAGCCCAAACACATTTTAAAACATCCTCTTTGGTTTGGCTCCCTTAGCTGGTTCCCTGGGCTCCTGTGGACATTGGTCAGGAATGAGAAATCCAGACAGTGCCACAGACCTGGTGCAATGATGTGAGCTCATGTTGCAGCACTCATGCCCTCCAAAGGGTGCGGGGGAAGAGGTTTTATGTAAATATGAAGCAGGAAGAACATTCTTGGTTTTTCTTACCTGCAGGTAGCTGGGTTTGGTTCTGGCAGTTGGGAGGGAGCTTGTTCTGGCTTGTCAGCTGAGCAGGCAGCTCTGGGGAGTCAGAGATGGAGAACACAATGGAGTGGAGCAGAGCAGGGGAATCCTCTGGTCTGAGTGTTGGCACTTTTGGTATGGCATGGCCATTACTCAGGGGTTCTGGAGGTCCCAAAGCTTCACACAGTGTTTGTATGGATGCAAGAGCTGTCATCACACATCTCCCTGCTCCTGGCAAGAAAAGCCAGGAGCAGGGAGAGCAAACAGTGGTTAATGAGGGTGGGAAAGAAAAAAACACAGAATTGTAGAATCATGGAATGGTTTGGGTTGGAAGGGATCTTGAAGATCATTCAGTTCTATCCACCTGTCATGGGCAGGGACACCTTCCACTAGACCAGGTTGCTCCAAGCCCTGTCCAACCTCGTCTTGGACATTTCTAGAGGTGAGACAACTCAGCTGGTTTTAAAGCTGTTGCATTCTCTTATCCTCAAAGAGCTTGGTTTGGTTTGCATTTCAGCAGGAGAGCTATTTTGGGAGTGTTTCTTTCTATGGTCTGTGGCTGACACTGCATTGGAAAATGCTTGTTACCATTATTTTTTCTTAAGTGCATGGATTAAATCTTAATATAGATCCCATGTTAGGAATGCTTTGTCTCTTGAGTGATCTCACGCACCCACTCCAGCTCATCTGGGACTGAATAACATGTTCCTTGGCAGCTCCAGCAGCTGGAACTAGAAAAAAGTAGGGAAGATTTCTGTATTTTTAGTTCTTTTAATGCACTTCAGCAGCTGGCAATTGATTCCTGGGACATGCGAGGTTCTGGTGAGTGGCTCCAGGACAGTTGGCTGGGAACAGCAGGGCTGCAGGCTGGAGAGGCTTGTTTCCAAAATTCTTAGTGCTAGGAGTTATCCAGGAGAATTATGCTGATTCCTGCTGAGCAGGGAGACTCTGGAAAGACTCACCCCTTGGGAGCACCAGAGGGAATGGCTGGAGCTATTTCAGGAGTAGTTTAGATGGATATTAGGAGAAGGTTTTTCCCCCGGAGGGTGCTTGGCAAGCTCCCCAGGGAATGGGGCACAGCCCGAGGCTGCCAGAGCTCTGGGAGTGTTTGGACAACTCTCAGGCCCAGGGTGGGATTGTTGGGGTGCCTGTGCAGGGACAGGGATGGTACTCCATGATCCTTGTGGGTCCCTCCTGACTTGAGATATTCCATGACTTTGAGGGAATATTTAGCACAATCCCAGTCCCACAGTGCTGTATTGGTGACACAGCTGTACAAAGAAGTTGGCACATTCTCACTCCACATGAACTAAAGTAAGAGCAACAGTCAAAACAGCTGGAAAAGTTTTCCTACTCTGATTGGTGACAGACACAATATCCAAGGAAGCCATTTCACAGGTGAGGGCTGGATGGGATCTGACAAGTGCAAACAGCACCATAATGAGATACATTTTTTTACCTGTTCAAGGTGTGTCCCTCCCTCCCTGCTGCCCTCAAGGCTATTATCAGCTCAGCTGCTGCTCTCCTGGGGTGACAGCAGAGCTGTGAGGGGTCTGTCTCATTGTATGCTTCACTCTCCACCCTGCTCCTATTGCAGGATCCCAGAGTGTTTTGGTGGCATCATCCACGTGCCAAGGTTGTGTCAGCCCTGGGTGGGAGCTGAGCTGTGTCCAGAGTAGTGAAGTGGTGCGTGGAATGGGGCAAGGGGGAGTTTGGATGGGTGGGATCTGAACAGTAAACCAGGCTGGAGCTGGCAGTGATGTTTCTGAGGAGGTTTCAGAGGATCTCTAGAGACCACACGTTCTGCACTGTTTACAGTCAGGGTGTCACATCTTGCCCAAATCTGGGCACAGCCAGAGCTGAGCTGGTGCTCTTGTTCTGAGCTGATGCAGGACAGGGATGGCACACACTCATTGACTGGGATGCTAGACCCATCTGGGATTTCCAGAGCAGGTAATCCTGCTTCAGCTGTAGCCTGGTCTCTGTTTGGTGTCTGAAGTGCCATGAAGCCAAGGGTTGCTTTCAAGGGCTGTCCAGTGAAGTGCTGCCAAAGGGGGGCATCTGTGCACTCACAAGGTCCCAAGGAAGGTTGGTTATGCTGTGTTCCTTGGAAAATGGAAAGGAGAGGGCACATGTAATAAGGAAGAAAACATGAGATGCAGGGGACAAAATTAAAATTGTGAGCTTCTGGGTTGGTTTTCAGCATCCCCACAGTCCCACTGCCTGGCTTTGGGCAAGTCTGTGGCTGTGCACATTGCTTTTTCAGCTTCCACTGGGTCTGACGCTGGTGCAGAGGCTTTGGTGGTTGTCCTGTGTAAAAGCTGGAATTCCTTGCTGTTAATGATTACTACTTTATTGCTTCCAGGGAGGGTGAGCAGTGCAGGGGACTCTGAGCTACTGCTTGTCCTGTTTGTTTTGGATCTGCTTCCAAGAGGCATCTTTTTTCTTTTTTCCCCTTAAGCTCCAGATGAAACAGGAATGAGGAAAACCTGAGTCCTGTGAGTCCTTGGGAACTGCATATGCCCCTCTGCAGCAGGGCTGTTCCCTCTCTCTTCTGGGATAGCTGTGCTTTCAGCAGAGCCATGTTTCTCCTCTCCCTGTCTGGCTGCCCTGCAATGGACTCATTCTCTCCATGGCTTTTTGCCTTCCAGGTAGAATCACAGGCCTGCACGTTGCCATGCCAGTGTCCCTCCCAGCCTCTGCAGTGCCCTGCGGGTACCAGCCACGTGTGGGATGCCTGTGGCTGCTGCAAGGTGTGTGCCCAGCAGCTGGGCGAGCTCTGCTCCTTGCACAGGCCCTGTGACCACCACAAGGGACTCTACTGTGACTTCTCAAAAATCAACAGAGGCAGTGGGATCTGCTTAGGTGAGAGCTGCAGGTTCTGTCCCTGTGTGTTTTTTCCGTGGTGCCTCCCCAGAACACCCATCAGAATTTCCTTGGTTCTTCATCCAGTGTCATGTTGGGTGATCAGTGCTAGCCCTGGGAAGAGCAGATCCCCTGGCACACACACAGCTGGCTTCTCACAGCTCCAGTGAGGCATGAATGGAGCTGTGGGACTCTCCTCTGTTCTACGACATCATCAGGGGACATCCTCTACCTTTTGGGCAAATATCAGCAGTCTGAGCTCTCACTGAAAGTACTATTCCTTGGAATATCATACCCCAAATCCCTCTGCCTTGTGCCAGGGATGGGTGTTCTGCACTTGGCTGCTCCTAAACAAGAGGCAAAGTATATTTCTGGTCATAGCACATGGGTGGGAAGAGCTGAACAGCTCCTTCACCATATTGTGTCTGTGTGGAACATGAGAATTCCAGAGCCAGGTAATGCAAATGCAGAAACTGCTTTCTGTTGTGACACCTCTTTTCAGATAAAAAAAGAAATTTTTTTTAGTAGCTCCTTCTGAAGCAAGCAGAAATTGTTTTGGTCTAGAGGAAAATAAAGTATTTCCACAACCTCCTGGTCTTTGTTTAAAAATAAGACTCCTCTGCCCCATCTCTGACAGGAGCTGACTTTTTTTTCTCAAATTTGAGTTTTTCAGAATAGTCAGGAAGACCTAAGAGTTGGCAGTTTATTGTGAGTACTTGGGAAAATGTTTGGCCACAACACTGGATGTCTCTGGAAATGATCCAGTACCAACCAGAGGCCGAATCTTAGTATCATGGAATGGTTTAGCTTGGAAAGGATCTTAAAGCTCTTCTTGAGCCACGCCCTGCCATGGGTGGGGACACCTTCCACTATCCCAGTTTGCTCCAAGCCTCGCCCAGCCTGGCCTTGGACACTTCCAGGAATGGGGCAGACACAGCTTCTCTGGGCACCCTGTGCCAGGGCCTCAACAGCCTCACAGGGAAGAATTTCTTCTCAATATACCGTTTATCCCTAGCCCTTGTCTAAATGAGTGTAACTTGGTGTTTGTTCCTTCAGGAGGTTTTTACAAGTTGCTTCATTTTCATTCCCCAGTTTTGGGGATTTTTTGAAGCCATGTGAGCTCCTGGTACTTTCTGCAGTTATTGAAACACCTGAGAGCTGAGGATTGAAGCTTAATAAGGCAAATGCAGGTGTGATGACATCCAGCAGGTGTGAGCTCCATGCTGCCTCATTCCAAATGGAATTGAGGTGTCTGTTTGTGGAGGAAAGGTAGCAAAATCACAGGAACAATTTCCTCAGGAGTGTGGGAGACACCACTTCAAAAATCTCTCCATGAAGCCTTGAAATCCTTCTAATAAAGGTGCTTTGTATTCACCAGACATCCAGGTTTGATCCAAACATTTTGGAGAGGGAGTCCCAGATCCTGCTGTGGAGGAAATCAGACTTGCAGACACAACTGTCCTTCCTGATTTTAAATAAGAAATTAAGCTTTTCACAGCAAAAACTGCAGTGAACACAGGCCAGGATTTATTTTTAAAATGGGCTGAGGATTTGGGCCATAATATCCTTGGGCGATGTTTTTATGATGTCCACATGGATCTGTTGGAAGATGGGGGATTTTGGAGGCAGTGAAGGAAGCTGGAGGAGTGAGTCAGAGGAGAGGAAGGATCCATGTTTTGGCTTAAGTTTATCCAAATAAGCAGATGTGCTGGAAGGAGAAAGGAGCTGAGGTGTCATGGGAAAAGTGTCTCAGTTGAGACCAGTCTGTAGGCTGTATTGGGAGAGATGGGAAGGGAACCATCAGAGGGAAACTTATTTTATGTCTGTGTAATATTATCACATTCCACATATTTCAGAGGAATCCTTTCCTTCCTGCAGAGACCTTGGAGTATCAGAAAGGTAAAGAGGATCCTGTAGTAAATCTAAAGTAGGGGTCCTACAGGTGATAGGGGGTGCAGGGAGCTGGTAGAGCTTTATAGAGCAGCTCTTTCAGCAGTGCCATATCCCCTGAGGAAAAGGGCAAAAGTCTCCATGGCTGGATTTGGTGTTTGGGCGTGGGTGGTGCCAGGCAGAGCCAGGGAACAAAGAGTTGGATCACTTAATGGGTGCTGTCTTTTTGGAGCCTTAATGGGAGCAGGTCAGTGGGAAAGGGAGGTCATGGAGGGTAATGAAGGGCACAACAGAGCAAATGAGTTTGGAAAACACAATCAACCCCTGGAGCGGGCTGCTGTTCTTTGGGAGGGGAGTGAGGAGAGGGAACAGCATGATCCGCTCACCAGGATGGAAGAGAGTGTTTAAAAATAAGTATGAATGGTTGTATAGAGGGAGGGTGGATGGATGGCTTCCACTTTGATGGAAAAAGTGAGGATTTTGAAATGTCAGAGTTGGAGCACAAGAATATTTTTGTCCCAATGACATTGTAAAGAGTTGCAAGATGAGATGCAGGTCTTGATAGGAACAGTCCAGAAGGATTTGTGTCCCCTCAAGGGATAGGGATGGGATGGAAAGAGATTCTTACTCCATGTTTGATTCAAACACTTTGCTAAAACAGTGTCTCCAGGGTGAGCAGGACTTATGGGAAAACAGATAAGGTTTCCTGGGAAGCCTCCACAAGGAGTCAAAAATCCTTCCTTTTGGTAACTTCCCCATAGAGGTTTGCATGGATTTTAAATTTTTTTTTTTAAGGTTCAGGATTGTAGAAAACAGCAGCTGCTGAAAACTATCCAAAATCAAGGTCTCTGTCCTCTGAAAACTCTGAGATTTTAACATTTAATTTCAGGCTAAGAGAAAAAAATATTAAATTATATATAAAATATATATATATATATAAATATTTTTTTAGACCTCAAAACTTTCCATTACTTATTTAGAATACTTATTTGGCTGTGTCAAAACTTTCCCTTTCCATTCTATCAAAATATTTCATCTTGATCTTTATAATATCAAAATAATTACCAGAGCAAAATGCTTCCCTCTATGGATACTATCCCACAAGTATTTTGGTTGAGCATAAAGGAAATCTTTTATATCAAATGGTTCAGTTGGTTCTTCTTGAAAACATTCTTATCTTAATCAGGTAAGAGATTTCTGCAGGAAAGCTTCCACTGGGAAAGTTCTGGCTAATGCAGTCATAAGAACTTGGGAGCATTGTTGCGCCTGCAGAGTAAAGGTTGCTGCTCTGTGTCAGATATTGTTGAGTTTCCTTTTTTTCGCCCATTTTAGTTTTATTGGGAAGGAGGCAGAGACTGGTAGGAGGTCTGGAGATGAGAGATCCAGAGATCAGAAAGGAGGGAACTGGAAAAAATTGGGGCTGGAAGGAGGAAGAGATTTGTGCACCACAGAGGGGCTAAAAAGGTCATCAGCCCAAAGTGTCATTTTCATTTGTATGTACCATTTGCATGGGGGAACCAGCCATTCTTAGAAGAGCGTTGCCTATTGGTATCCCAGGAGTATTGAGGAGCAAAGCCATGCTCACATGCCATGTTAGGAAAGTGTCTTGCACAGCACCACTGACCGGTTACTCCAAGCTGTTTGGGAAGAACTCTGACAGAGAAACAGGCTTTTTACAGGCACCAAAGACAAAATCACACTTAGTTGCTCATCCAAGTAGAAACAATATTTTTCTAGAGAGTTTGGGGAGGACCAGCACTTCTGAAAAATCAATGTCAGGAATAGCCTTGGGTCCAGGGAGGCAATTATGATATATCCAGCAGTGGGATGGCAGAGCAGGGGATGGGCTCTGTCCCTCTTCAGGAGCTCTGTGTCCCCAAGGCAGGGTTTCATCCTTCTGCTTACTCTTCCTTCTCCTCCTCTTCCTCCCCCAGCTCATGAGGGTGCGACATGTGACCTGCTGGGCAAGATCTACCTCAACGGGGAGAGCTTCCAGCCCGTGTGCAAGCTGCAGTGCATCTGCATGGACGGGGCCATCGGCTGCATCCCACTCTGCTCCGATGACCTTCGCCTGCCGTCCCCAGAGTGCCCCAACCCCCGGAGGGTGAAGTTCCACAACAAGTGCTGTGAGGAGTGGGTGTGTGAGGAGGGCAGCGACGATAACCGCTTTGGAACAGCCATGGCAGGTCAGCGGGGCACATGGGATGGGGCCAGGAGCTGTTTGCTGGGGAAGAGGGGTGGATTTGGAGCACTGACTGGTTTGGGGCTGGTGGTGGCTTTATGTGTCATCATGATGGGGGTGAATACCAAGTGTTGGGTTGCAGAGCTAAACACTAGGTCTAACCCGCTCAGCTGCTCTATCACTCCCTTCCCAGCTGGACAAGGGGGAGAAAATAAATGGAAAGTGACTTGTAGGTTGAGATAAGGCAGTTTACCAAAGCAAAAGTGAAAGTTTGCATGTGCACAAGCAAAGAGAAAAAAAAAATAGATTTATTCTCTACTTCCCATCATCAGGTGGTGTCCAGTCACTTGCTGGGAAGCAGGGCTTCAGCACATGGAGCAGTTGCACCAGAAGGCAAACATTGTGAATAGCAAATTCGCCCTCCCCCTCTTCCTTTTCTTAGCTTTTATATCTGAGCTGACATCATCATACAGTCTGGAATATCCCTGTGGTGAATTTGGGTCAGGTGTCTTGGCTGTGTCCACTCCCAGGAACTTGCCCACTCCCAGCCCCTTGATTGGGGGGGGAGTTTTGGAGAAATATCACGGTACCAACTGTACCAGCCGTGTACCAACCCTGCCCAGTGGTAGCCAAAAACACTGGTGTCTTACCAACACCTTTCCAGCTTCCACTGCAGAGCACAGTGCTGGAGTGGCTGCTCTGGGAACATCAACTCCAGCTCAGCCAGATCCAATACAAAGTGAAACCTCAGTGGTGCTACGGGAAAGCTCCTGTGTCCTGAAGTGTCACAGCAGACCTGTCTGAAGCTGGGCTGTGTAGGAAATGGCCCCTGCCCACCTGCATCCCCTTCCTGCTGAGAGGCCAAGCATCTCATGGGATGGGCCAGATCTTTGCTGATGATCCTGAAGTGTTAAACCACAGAGCTGCTACTCTTCATCTAAAGCCCTGAGCCTTGCCTTGTGTCTCTTCTTCATGGCTCAGTTTTCAGGGAGGACCCAGCTCACGAGCCGGAGCTGAACAACCTGCAGGAGAACTGCCTGGTGCAGACCACAGAGTGGAGCACGTGCTCCCGGAGCTGTGGAATGGGCATCTCCACCCGTGTGACCAACAACAACCCCCAGTGCCGCCTGGAGAAGGAGACCCGGCTCTGCATGGTCCGGCCCTGCAACTTCTCCATGGAAAAAACCAAGGTACAGTGAGGTATGGTGCAGGAAGAGAGGGGACACAGCACCCCAAATGCTGGGGACAACCTTGGGAATGATCCTGGCTCACAGGGTCTGCTCTGTGCTTCAGTTTCCTCTGTGTCCCATTGCCCAGTGATGGGGTCAGAGCACAGGCCTCAGTGCATCTTTCCTGTCATGTCCATGGTAATTCATCTGCTCTCTCCCTAGAAGGGGAAGAAGTGTGTGCAGACCCCAAAGCAGCGCCAGAGCCTCCACTTTGAGTTTTCGGGATGCACCAGCACTCGCTCCTACCGGCCCCGGTTCTGTGGCAGCTGCTGGGACGGGCGCTGCTGCACCCCGTTCCTGAGCAGCACCGTGGACGTGGAGTTCCGCTGCCCCGAGGGGGACTTCTTCCAGAGGAAGATGATGTTCATCAAGATGTGCTCCTGCCACCACGACTGCTCCCGAGACAATGACATCTTCCTGGCCACGTATCACCGTTGGATGATCGGAGACCACGTCAAGATTGAGCAGCAATAGCCTTGTATTGCCAGATCTGAGGTGTGCAGGAGGACTCTGCAGTGCTTTTGTGGCTGTGTCCTGGCCAGTGCAGCCTCTTCCCTTTCTGTGCCTTCCACAGCAGCACCGTTCACACCAGTGGTCCCTGTGGTTTTCCCAGCGAGCTGAGGGAGGAGCCCCAGCTGCCCCAGCCCCCTGACCCCCACCCACAGTGGTGCAAAGGAACCAGGAACAGGCTTGAGCTGCAAACTTGATCCGTATTCCCACTGGCCAGAAGGGAGAGTGGATCAAAGTCATGTGGCTGCCGCCTGTCTCCAGCCCAGAGCACAATTCCTGATTCAGATTCTGAGAATTCTTCCAGCATTAACTGGGGGTGGACCAGGCTGCCAGACCTGTGTCCCCTGAAGGTGCTGCCCTGGGCAGCTTTTAGTGCCTTGATGAACATTTCATAGAACCATAGAGTGGTTTGGGTTGAAAAGCACTTTAAAGCTCACCTCTTTTCAACCCCCTGCCATGGACAGGGACACCTTCCACTAACCCAGGCTGCCCCAAGCCCTGTACAATCTGGCCTTGGACACTTCAGGGATGGGGCAGCCACAGCTTCTCTTGGCAATGTGCCAGGGCTTCACCAGCCTCACAGGAAGGAATTTCTTCCTAATCTTGTCAGAAATGGCTCTGGGGTGAGAGAGCGACTGAACCCCACAAGCTCAAACACGCACAGTGAGCCTGCAATTGTTTCAGCTCTGGATGTTTGTAAGTAGGAGGAACACTGTTCAGCTCCAGTCTCCCTGGAGATTTTAAGGTACTGGCAAGAGAAATTCTCCTATTTGTAAATGGAGCAGATCCCATCTGGAGTTACTGGAGCAATGCCATGGGGAGCTGTTGGCACAGGTGTCTCCAGCAGTGGGATTTCCTCCTGGCCACAGACCTGGGAGAGTCTCTCTGCCAGGAGAGGACCCCATTGCCAGCCCATAGCTCCAGGAAAGGCCACCAGCAGCCAGTGCCAGTGGTATGTCCAGCAGCACATTGGCAGCTTTGTGGGACTGCTAAGGTCTTGTCAGGTGTAGAAAAATCTTCTGATTTTTAGCAGAAACATCCAGGTACAGGACCTGATGCTGGTTCTTAAGTCATCCTTGGCTATCACCATTGGAAGTCATGAAGAATTTCTGTTCCAGCCAGGCAGGAGCAGTAGCCCTAAGGCTCCACCTCACCATATCTTCCTACCCCAAATTAGAGCCTCATGCCAAGGGACATTCCCAGCTGTCCCCACCGCTGCCCTGAATTTGCAGACTGCTGACACACCAGTTTCATTCCAGCCTCTGTTCTTTCTCTCAGCCTGCAGCAGCTCATGAGTCTTCACCCTACTGTAATCAATTTGAACTGTAAATAATTTATCTGATGTTGTTTATAAGGCCTTTGTACAGTCCCAGGATCCTATTGGTACAGCCCTGCTCAGGCTGTTACCCCTCTCTGAGCGTCTCTCCTGTCATTCATACAGTTGCTGAGTCTCAAACCATCCTGAGGTTGCACTATACTCAATGCTAATAAATATCGCTATTTTTTATATCTCTGAACTCATCCCTTTGTGTGAGGCTCCTGCCTGGTTCCTCTGCTGACCTTTCCCCAGTGCTGGGACCTTCTGGAGAGTTGATGGCTGGGTGCTGGAGGGGAGGGGGTGACAGGGCGTTCTTTTCCTGTTCCCAAATAGCAGCAGGATTGATGTTCGTGTTTCACAGACACCTCTGCAGCCCTCAAAACACAGCTCCTCCCTCCACGGCTTGGAGGGGGGACAAGCAGAGCCCCCCTCTGCCTGCTGAAGGACCTACAAATCCTTAATACCAGATTAAAAATAACCCCGGGAGCAGATGTGAACAGAAGTCGGTGATAACAGGGCCAGAACGCGAGGGGCTTTGCAGTGGCTTAACAGCTTATGGATTCATCCCCCTCTCATCACATTAGCAGGGACTCCCCCCTCTCCCACTCCAGGGCCTCGAGGTTCTCCCTGCTCCCAAACCTTCAGCCTCACCGGGGAAGGCTTAGGGCTCCCAGGAAGGGGCGCACGAGGGGGAACAAACCCGTCGTGCTTGGTGTAGAGGGTTGCGTGGTCTAGAGGTTCTGAGCTCGGGGCAGGATCCGGCCCGTGCACCTCCGGGGGCTGCAAAGGCCCTGGGAGAGGCAGCGGGGGACACACAGTGGCGGTCCTCGCCGGTGTCCCCAGGGCGGTGACCATTGGATGGCACGAGGAGCTCCCCATGGGGACACCCCGTCCCCAGGCAGGGTCCAGGGGCGTGCGGGGCTGCGGAGCGTGACCCCGGGCAGCACCCGCCAGCAGTGCCCGCTGGGCACTCCAGCCCCGTCCCGGCACCCGGGGCCACCGCAAGGCCGCCACCGCCAAGCCAGCGGAGGCGGCAGCGCGGTCCTCGGTGCCGGGGCCGAGCTCCGCGCTCCGCCACCTCCGTCCCCGCGCTCGCGGGGCCCTGTTCCGCCTTATCTCCGCAGCCGCCGCCTGCGCGGCACCGATAACCCGGGCGTGGCCGCAGGGACGGGGTCGGGTGTGGGGACACTTCAGTGACCCTGACGCCCTTACCGGCTCCGGCCACGCCGCAGCCTCCTGCGGTGGGCTGAGGATGGGGACGCCCCCGGCTCCTCCAGCCCCCAGAAAGAACGGGGTTTTCCCTAAGAAAACTTGAAAATATGAAAATAAGGAAAAATATCTACAAAAGTCCTGATTCTGCCGTTTTGGGGGGCTTTGGGGCTCTGCCGTGGCGCGGGGGGAAACCCGTGGGGGCACCGTCTCCTAATTTGGGCCTATGACGTCACGGGAGCAATGGGCGGGATCTCCTGGCCCCACCCCTCTCGTCACCTGTGGGTCCCGCCCACTGCAGCGGCGCGCGTTGGCCCCGCCCCCTCCGCGCTCTGACGGGCGGGGGCGGCAGCCAGTGGGCGCGGCCAATGGGGGCGGGGCTGGTGTGTGACGTCAAGGGGCGGGGGCGGGGCCGGTGGTGCAGGTGGAGGCAGCGCGGAGCGGAGTGGCGGCCCCGGTGAGCGGGGGCAGGTGAACTTCCTCGGGTGTCAGGCCTGTTATGGGGCGAGAGCGGCTTTGAGGAGAGGGAGGCGGCTGTAGGGGTCAGGCAGGTTATGGGGTGCGGGGGTGCTGTGAGGCTCCTGGGGTACTTTGGGGGGTATAGGGGTCAGACAGGTTATGGAGGATTTGGGGCTCCCTAGAGAGACCCATGGTGGGTCAGGCTGGTCATGGGCTTGCGGGGTTGTAGGAAGAGTTACGGTGCTGTGGGAGCGCATGGGAGCTCAGGCTGTTTATGGAGTGATGGGGTTGCCAGCGGACATGGGGTACTGTGAAGCAGGGGGTCTCCGGTGGGGTCAGGCTGGATGTGGGGTCATCTGGGGCTGTGGGAACCAGGGGCACCCGTAGAGGTCAAGCTGGATGTGAGGTGGTTTAGGGTGCTCAAGGGTTTAGGGGGGCTGGGAACGTCAGTCTAGGTGTGGGGGGACCCACAGTGACTGAGGTGTGAAGCAGGGGGTTATGGAGTAATGGGGGAGACTAGGGAAGTACCTGCAGCGCTGTCAGGAAGCCCGTGGGGCAGAAGGGAAGTGAGTGCTCTGGAGTGGGGAGATCTCCAGTAGGGTCAGGCTGTGTGGGGGGGAAATGGGGTGCACTAGGGCTGTCCTAGAGACTGAGTTGGGGCTGCAGGGGAGGATGTGGGGTGGAGGGCCACCCACAGCGGCTTCATGCTCAGGAGGTGGATGGGGCCCTGCCTCACGGGGAGTGGCCAGCCCTGGGATGTTTCCCCCCACACTGTTGTTTCCTCTGGTGCAGTGGAGGGGAAAAGGCGGGTGCAGCCTCGGGGAGTAGGGTGCCCCCTGCACCCCACAGTCACGGCAGCAGCACTGGTGTCCCTTCGTGGGAGGTGGCAGCTCCCGCTTTGGCATTTGGGTCCCGCTCTGGTTCTTGGAGCATTCGGTGTTGCTGGGGCTGTGCCAGAGATGCAGCAGCTCAGCCTGTGGCTTCGGGGCGGCCGCGATCTCTTCCCGAGACACGGTGTGGCCCGCCGGGCCGGTTCCCAGAGCAGGCGGCGGTGGCCGCGCTGCGGGGCAGCGGGGGCTGCTCCTGCCGTCCGTCCCTGGCCCGGCCCGGCCGGGGCCGCGCTGAAACCTCCCATCGACTTCCCCACGCCCCTGGGGGGTCGATGTCTTCACGTCCCCTCGTCGACGGGGACACTTTTTGCGCTGATGTTGCAACCACAGGCGAGTGCGACGTGCCCGGCGGTTCCTGCAGTCTCTTCCTCTCCCGAATTTAGCCCTCCTGCAGTCGTGGTGGGACGAGAGGCTGGTGAACCTGCTCTGGTGAATCTGCTCGTTAGTCCGTGCCATTGGCTGTGCCGGTGGCGGGTCCGAGCGGCTGGTGGGATGGCAGGGGACAGCGGGGGACAGTGACTATCTTTAGGGCTGTGTTGCAATGGAGGGGTGTGCCTTGGCTCGGCGCTGCCGGCAGCCGCCTCCTCGCCCGAGGATTGACTTACGCCGAGGCTCCCGCATGGGGAAAACCAACATTTGCTCTGCGGTTTGTGTGCGCAGGAGGGGCTGCGGTGGGGCCGTGAGGCTGAGCCACGGGTCGGGCAGCATGGGGGCTGGTGTCAGCCACACATGCCCTGCATGAGGTCAGGCTGTGCGAGCTGTGCAGGGCCGAGGTTTGGGGTGCACCAGCGGCCCCGGCACCGTCACCTGTCACACATGCTCTGCCGCTGCCTGGCAGTGGGAACAGCTGAGCGGAGCAAACGGCCAGCATGGGAAAGGTTGATGGTGCAGGGAATCTCTGCTGCCTGCTAGGAGAGAAGTTGCCCCGGTGCTTGGGAGCAAGTTGGGTTCTTGCAAGGTGCATCCCAGAACGTTCCTATCCCTGTGCTCCCTTCCTGAGGTTTAGTGGAAGCACAGATGCAGCTGTAGGAGAGAGCCAGAGTCAGGTCTCTTTTGAGTCCTGTTTCTGCCAGAGTAACCTGGTTAGTCCGTGGGAGTAACTTGCCCCAGAGCTGGGGTGACATAAAACTGAGGCTCTCTTGCCTCTGAGCCATTGCCCTGTTCATGGCCGCTGTGCCCGTGGTGGTGCAGCTGCACCATGCCTGCCTCTGAGAGGAGGCAGCTGAAACTTGCAGAACAATTTGCATCCCCCCACGACTACAGTTCCTCTCCCAGTTCTGGGGCCTGTGTAGATGTGGGTCTCCTCCAGCTCATGGTGCTGGCAGCCCCTCAGTTTCTCTGACAAAGTGGGGCACATGCTGCTTCTGCCTGTGGTGATGATAATGGCAAATCAGCAGAAGCAAAAAGTTGATCTGTGCATCAAACTGCTTCCCGTGGTTGTGCTCAACATGTTCTGTGGATGTGGGCCTCTCCTGTCCCTTCATTTCGCTTTTCCTCACACTTAGGAGCAACTTCAGGCCTTTCCGAGAGGGCTTGAAGCCTGCTGAGAAGAGAAAGTGCCTTCTCATCTGCAGCGATGCTGCTGGGATGAGGCTCCCTCTTCCTGATGCGCAGCCTGGCAGCTGCTGGAATTGCCTGCAGCCGCATTGCTCCACACCGCAGGTCCCTCAGGCTGGCATGGTCCTTTCAGAGCCAATAGTGGGGAAAGGATTTCTCAGAGAAAAGGCAAAACATCAGCTGTTTTTCGAGGAGGGCACTTTGGAGTTATGCCACTGATTTAATATATAGCAAGGTTTTTCTGAGCTGCCTCCCCAGCTGTTCCCCAGAGGGGAAAGCAGAAGGCAAGCTGCAGGTGGTCCCTGTCCCAGAGGGCAGGAATTGTCCTGTCTCTGCTAAGCAGTGTTTCACCTTTGTGTTCACAGCTGCAGGAAGACGCTTGAGGCTGTGGTGGCTGGAAGTTTAGGGTCATAATTGGCTCTTGGCCGTGCTGGATGCTGTGGTTGAAGGTGTGATTTGGGAAGGGGGCGGACTTGCCCATCATTAGCCCAGAGGTGTCTCACTGAGCTGCCCCGGAAGGAGGGGGATATCTTGGTTGTCCTTTTTATGAGTTTTGCTTCATGCAGTGATTTGTGTGAGCTCTGAGCTGGGATTTCCCAGGAGGGGCTGCAGTTGCTTGTCCCTATTTAGCCTGGGACCAGCACCCAGGGGATGAGCAGTCTCACACAGCGGTTATCCCAATGAGGCCACGATGGTTTGGGTCCCTCATACCATGATATTGGGACTTTGTCATGCCATCCCCTTCTGAACTGGTGGGAACAGCCAGGGTGGGCTGGCTGGGTGTCTGGGGTCTGGCCAAAGCAGCCACCACGGCTGCCCATCTCTCCCCACTAGAGGCTGCTGATGACCAGAGCATTTTCCATCCCTGCTCTGAGAAAGCACTGGGGTCTGGAATTTGCAGGGCTGAGCATCCCGGCCTGAGCTTTTCCTGCTGATTCACCCTGGAGACAGCATTATGCTTTCGCTGGCAATGGCCGGGTTCAGGGGGCACATCTGCTCCCCTGCCAGGCTCACAATAGATCTCCCTACTTCATCAAGTCTTAATTAGGTAAATGCACTGGGACCATGTGTGGGGCCATTTCCAGGGGACATGGGTCATTCGTGGAGTTGGGTACCCATCCTGCCTGCCTCAGGGGTTTTTCCAGCTGGGTGCTGAATGTGGAATGAGTTCAGGCTCTTGTATTGTTTTCCCAGAGGATGCGTGCACAGCGATAAGAGCTTCAGCCCTCTGGCATGAATCAGTTGGCAGAAAAGCCAAGGATTAGTTAAGCCATGGAAAGGATCCTTCACCTCTGGGCACGGGCATGGTAAAACCGCCCTGTAGACACAAAGGAGACTCTTAGTCCAGGCCACCAAACACCTGGGCAGGATGGGTTGGAAAACCATGGGAAGATGGCTAATCACAAAACAATGAGGTGTAAAATGAAAGGCAGTGGCTGCTGCAGTGGAAGTGCCTGGAAGGAGTCTGTGGAGTTGCACAAGCCCTGCTGCCCTTGTTGGTGCAGGCAGTGCTGGCTGGGCAGTGTGGTGCCAGCTGGCTCTGGCACAGGGCACGGCATCCCTGACAATGGCAGAGCAGCGCTTTACATAATCTGGGGCTTGCCAAACAAGCTTGAAGGTCTGGAAAATCCTCCTGCTATTGTTCATGCTCAAAGTTTGCTAAATTTCCTGGTTTGATCTGCAGGGCTGGATTTTGTTTTTGGACCGCAGTGGGGGAAAATGCTCTTTGCACGGAGGGAAGAAAAGGGTGTTTGTGGTGTTTAATCCGTTCTCTGTAGATGAAACTATTTTTGTGGTTCACAAGAGGTTCCGAGCAGCTGCTTGCAGCTTTGTAGGGCTGCAGGACTCTCTGTCTATCCAATTAGTATGGTTTGTGTCTAGTGCCCTCCTGACTCCCCCCTGAGAAAAGCCTGGACTACCAGATGAGGATGGGGTGCCGTGGGCAGGGCTCACACAACCACCATCTGGGCTCCTGGCTCGGAGCAGCCTGTGTCGGGACACAAATGTCGTGTCAGAACAGCTTTTTGCTGTCTCAACCCCCTTAGGTCAGACTCTGAGGCTCCAAAACTGCAGCTCATTGGCAGATTTTAGGCGAAGAGGCATGATGGGAACTTGGGGTGTCTTGTTGTGCTGTGTCAACCATGGTGGTGACTTTGTGGTGATTTGGGGCAGCTGGGAACCCCTCTGGGAGGATGCTGAGGCTGTGTGAGCCACCCCAGGCCCATCCTGGCCTGTGTAAGGCTGCGGGCTTGACCTGGATATGTTTCCTGGCCTCTGAGAAGTATTTTGGGGCATGGGGCCTGCCCTTGCTTGTCCATTTGCTCACCCCAAAGCCCTTTGCCAAGACAAATAAAGCCGCCATGTGCTGTTCAATTAAATGAAGAAATCCTGTTAAAATGTTTTCTACTCATTTGTGGATAAATGACTGAGAAACCCGACTTTTCCTTCCATTCCTGGGAAAGGCAAGTTTTGTAACAAGGAATGGGGTGAAGTTCTTGCTGGTCCACTTACTGTGAGGCAAGTTTTTGAGCCCTGGAAAGCAGCAGAGGAGGAGGAACCTCAGCCTAATGGCATGAATACATCCTCTCATTAGACGTGGCTTTGAGTGCCTTTTATGTAGATAATTACATCTGGCCACAGTTGATCAGAGCTGTATTTAAGGAGGGGACATAAGACTTGGCATGTTCTGGGAGCCTTTGGAGTTGACTGCAGTGGCATTACAGCAATCTGGTAGGTGTTGCTAACAAGGCAGTGCAGGGTAGCTATGGGGGAGCTCTGAGCCTTAGGGCCTGGAAAACTTGGTGTTGGCACTGACCTCAGCTTTGTGGGGGGGAGTGGGGTGGACTGATGCCTCAAAGCATCACCAGGGTGTTAAGACAGCTGTGTATCATGCTGCATGTGAGCTCCATGACCCGATCCCTCTGATTGCTGTAGTGGTTTAGGTCCCCACTGGATAGTACCAGCCATACCAGGGCTTGTATATCTGTATCCACTCTCCAAAACCCCTTGGAGATGGATAAGCTGCTTGTAGGCACTTCAGACCTTGAGGGGAGGTCTTTGTCTGTGCTGAGGGTATGTATTGGACAGGACAGCACGAGTTGCCTCCCTGCCCCCGGGTGAACTCAAATGTTGAGTGTGGGAACGAGGGAGGGCAGATGTTATCCCAGCACAGAGCCACGTTGAGCTATAACGTGACTTTGTGTGTCTGTGTTGATGTTGTGCTGGAGGTGCCGTGTCTGACGTGGAGGTGAACTGCTCCCATATGGCCGGGATTGGCCTCAGCCAATCCGTGGCTGCTCAGAGGCTCACAGGCTGGCAGACGGGGTCAGCACTGCTTGAGAATTTCCTTGGGTGCAGAGTGGAAGCTTTTAATAGCAAACACAGTCATCTTCATCATGACATGGCCCGAAACTTGGCCCTAAGGATCCACTGGCAGCTGGGCACTGGTTGAGCAAGATGTTACTGCCCGTTGGAATTTTTTTTTAAGTGTTAAAGTAAAGTAAAATGGTTTTGAGTAAAAATGAAATAAGACCTAAACCTGTTGCTGGTGGGTTTGAGGTGCACTCCTCCCTGAGAGGTAGCCTGGAGAAACCCTGCCTTTCTTGGGAAAGTTATGTGGCCCGATCCCAGTGTGCTGACAGATCCCATGCCTCAGCTGGGTGCCAAGACTTCAGCCTTCTAGGAAAGGCAGCAGGAGCCAGTATGGGTTTTCTTCTGCCATCCTGTGGGCACCTGGTGCTGTGCGAGCAGTGTCCAGAGTTGCAGATGGCTCACGTTGTGGTTGCAGCACTGCTTGGTCCATCTGAGCTGCCTTTGAGTGGGAACACACAAGATATACAAGTGCAGAATTGATCTGTGCTGCTGACCAGGATTGTTTCTGGCGCTGCTTTTTCTTCTGCTGTAACATGAGGTGAATGTGATTTCGGCAGCTGCCTGGCTCTGGCAGTTTGCATCCTTCCTTCGCTACAAACTGTCTTCATCCTGCTCAGCTTCCTGACCCCTGTCCTAGTCAATGCAGGGTTGTTATCCGAGCTCAGCAAGCCATGATGATCACATCCAAGCGCTGGACCTCGAACCACCTGGCAGTGCTGGGCTGGATGAAGAAGCTCATTTGCATAGGGTAGTTAATTCTCTGTATGCTTTAATCTCCGTGACCATCTGTGTTCTTTCCCAGGCTGTCGAGATGGGAGCTCTTCGGATTTTCCCAGGAGGTGAACATAGAGAGGACTGCTGATTCTGGGTGTGCTGAAAACTGCTCAGGGTCAGAGCAAGGCATCCTTATTAGCTCTGGGAGCAGTTGTTCTGCATCCTTGGGTGAGGAGGCATCGACGTGTCAACTCCATCCTGAAGGCACATCCCGAAGAGATGCAGGGAGGTGATAGGGGCAAAGACTAGAAATGGAAACCTCTGTGAATGATGTCCAGCATTCAGTCCCAAACATGGAGGGTCTGTGACCAGTTTGGCTGGCACCCTTAGGTTGCCCCAGAGGGCTGGAGTTCCAGGGAAGGCTGTGTTGGTCTGAGGAGAGATAGTACACTAAAGCATCTCCTAGTCATCTGAAAAACCCTGCCAGGTTTTGGCAGCCTCTGGGGTGTACCCCACCAGCAGCTACTGCTGTGTCTGTCCTGGTGAACTGCTTGATTTGAGCCTCAAAAGCTGCTTTGGAGACTGGGGTGCTCACACACAGCACCAAAATAAGGGGACCAGTGCTTATAGGTGAGCTGCACTAGCATCTCCAGACCTGTGCAGGCTGCTGCTGGTAGAGAAGTTTTTTCTGCAAGCAACACCTGAATTCCTCCTCATTTTGTTTTCTCACATTTGGAGCCTGAGGCTCTGCAGACCATTTGCAGCCCCAGCTGGCATCCCGCTCACCTTGGGCAGAGGTGACATTGGCTGCACGTGCTTGTGAGGAACGCCTGTCCTGTGGGACAGCACAGCCCTGCTGAGGCTGCTGCTGGCATCCAAATCCAGGGGGAATGATCCCTGCCCTGTAATTAAGCTCTTCTGCTCCTGTTCACCACACTAATGAGCTGTCTCATGGATGTGCTCCTCGCAGCTGCTGTGGATCCTCTGTGTGGCTCTGAAGCTGGAGGTGACTTTCCAAGAGAGCCACCTACAAAGGGCAAAATCTCCATTCCTGTCACGCTGGGGTGAGGTATGTGGGCTGGGAACCTTTGACTGTGAAGGCTTTTCCCTGACTATACCCTGTGTGCAGTGAGTTCTTCTGCCAAGGTACACCCTAGTTTCTTGGTGAGGAGAGCCCTTCTTGCTGTTCATGCTTGCAAGGCTGGGCAAGATGGAGGTGTTTTCCCAGCCTTCAGCTGAGGGACTGAAGCTGCCTCTTGAATGGAGAGCTGCTCTCTACCAGCATCCAGGCTGGATAATAACACTTAAAAAAATAAATGGAGCTCCAGCTGCTTTCCTGGTTCAGTAGCTTGGGTTTCCAGTCTTGGTGGAGAGGATGGCACCAGGACTGTTGACATCATGGTGCATCCCAAAGGTTGGGTATGGGCTTGTGCCCATATTTCTACCTGGCCTAGTGGAAGGTGTCCCTGCTTGTGGTAGTGGTTGGAATGAGATAAGCTTTAAGGTCTCTTCCAACACAAACCATTCCATGATTCTGTGATTCTCTGGCATGGCAGGGTGACTGCTGAGTCCAAGTTGTGCCACGAGTGCTTGACTGTGAGGCAGGTCGCTGTACCCTCAGTGGGGCTGTTGCCTGGGCTGAATTTCAGGCCCTGGTGTGTGCCCACTGGAGCACACAGCCAGCCTCGCCGCGGCTGCGAGCACGTTGCTCTCTTGAATCTCTTCATTTACTTAATGATCCTTTTGTTGAGAGGATTAGGGTTTAGAGGCCTCTGGCCGAGTGTTAATTAAATTAAGGCTCTGGGGTTTTGTGGAATTTTTGAAGCCCACTAGAGGGCTCAGTTGGAGCCCTGTGGAGCCGGGACCGGCGGCGCTGGGCTGTGTCCAGCCCTCCAGAAGTTTGCACGAGAAGTTATGTAAGTGCGGAGGAGCCCGGGGTGCGCGGAGCCCGCCGCTGCTGCAGCCCGGGGTGCGCGGAGCCCGGCGGAGCGCGGCCCGTGCCCACGCCAGCGGCACTCACCGGCGGCTGCCTGCGTCACCGCTGCTGTGTAATCGGCGTTGGGTAATGCCGAGCTGATGTTTTGGTTGGTGGTTTTTTTTTTTTTTTTTTTTTTTTTTTTTTTTTTTTTTTTGTTGGTTTTTTTTTTTTTTTTTTTTTGCCCTTCCACGCTTGGTGTTTACATTTCTAAGAAGTGGCTGACCGTGAACGTCCGGTTCCACCTTCACTTCTGGAAGAGTCAGATACTGAAGTTTGCTCTGTTGCCTTGCTCATGTGCGTAGAAGTGTGAGCTTTTGGCTTTGTGGCTCGGGTTTTTCTGCTGGGTGCATGGGTTTTTCATGTTTAGCTGGAACTGCTTTTTAACCAGTGTCTCTTCTCCTTTCTTTTCTATCCGTTGCCCCACGATGGATTTTGGTGCTTCGCCTGTGTGGTTGGCCTGGCTCCCTCATCTCTCGGTAAGTACCTGCTTTGTTAGATCAGTGGGCAGAAATAGTTGAAACAAGTTGCTTTGACTTAGTGATCGGACCTATTTAAATAATGAACCGACCTGTTTATTCTGTCTTAAACTCTGAAGCATTGGTTGTTGTCAAACAACATGATTTTTTGTGTGTGTCAAGATTTTGGATATTGAAATGCACTTAGTTGGCCTGGAAATTGCTGTATTTTATAATATGAAGAAGCCCTCAGTAGTAGTTTTTCCTGCCAGCCTAGGCTGTGGAGCACTGACCTGGGGATAAAAACACATTTAACTGCCAGCAAGTGAGTAAATGGAAGGGAAAATATTTTTGCGAAGGGAAAGCAATGCTTCCTGTTCTTCCCAGGATGTCTCCTTACATCTGTTGGTGACAAGTCAGCACTGTGGTTGTGAAAGGGGCTCTCTGATGGCACTGGACCACCTTGCCCTTTGCAAACCAGGGGTGTTCGGGGCTTTGCAGGGCATGGAGAGGAGGCTGAGGCCCTTCTGGCAGGAGAGGAGGGGAAATGTGTGTCGAGCTTGGAGAAGAGCATCAGGCACTGAGGATTTCAGTTTGTGTTCATGGAGCACCTGCTTTGCATGGGGGAAAAAATTGCCCAGGTGGAGTGGATTCTGATGGTTTCCCTGCAGAGGTTTGGTGCCTGCCATGAACTTGGCTGTGAGGTAGTGTTTGTGTATTAGAGCCTCTGAGGACAAGGTGTGTGTGCTCAGGATGGAGGGAAGGAAGGGATCTGCTTGGTGATGCTTTTTCTTTGGGTGCAGTGGTGCCTTTGCATCGAAGTTGTGTTCTCTGGAAACTTCAGTAAGTTCAAATTTACTTTTTTTCTTTTTTTAAATTCAAACTATCCTCCTGCTAAGCCTTCCCCTCTCCGTCACTCCTCTTCCCCAGTAACACCCTCTCCTCTCCTAGTAAGGGAAAGGGCTGAGCACATTTAGAGCAGCTCTGCTCTGTGCCTGAGTATTTCACGTGCTGCCAGTCATTGATGAAAGACGTGAAGGGAAAGCAGAGGAAGGTGCTGGGAACAGATTGCTTTATTAAACTTGACATCATTATACAATGCCTCATGGCAGGGCAGGAGAGATGAATCAAATCCAAGCGTAAACCTGTTGTTCTTACTCAGAAGTGAGCACTATATTTGGAAGATGAACAGCTGCCTCCTGATCTGAATGAGCTTTGCTACCAAATCTCCAAAAGCAGGATTTTTAATTAACTAGAAAATCTACCTTGGTCAGAGGTGCTGAGCTCCAACCCCACCAAACACCCAGCAGCCATTTGAATGCAGAATAAAACTCCTCCGCGTGGAAGGTACAGCTGGAAGCTGCTGTGGGCTTGGATATGGAGCAAGATACAAGTGCTCACTTGCATGATAGTTGGAATGGGTTAGTGAGAGGCAAAGCTGTACCAGCACAGCAGCTGCAGCTGTGCCAGGGTAACCTGGAGCAACTCTTTGGCTCAGTGCTTGAGCAGACCCTCAGGACAGTCACCCATCTGGCTATCTCTCTATGACAAGTCTCTGGTCGAGGATGAATTTCTCCCTTGGGAAACACTGATAACCTGGACCATCCCCGGTTTGCTCTCCCCAGAGCAGTCTCCATGTTACTTTTGTCTGTTTTCTTGCATGTATTGCACAGAGGGGAGAGAATTGCATTTTGGTGGCCGTGCTTGTTACAAGCTGTGGAGATTTTGATCCTGATATGAGATGAAATTTGCTGCTTGCTGAATAATTGGTATCAATCTTTGTCAGCAAACAAGAAAGCCATGTGGTACCTTGTTAGGGATAGTGAAGATAAAGGGGGTGTGGTACAGTAACACTGGCTCAGGGACAGCCCTGACCTTCACTCAGCAGAGAAGACATCAGGCTCAGATTGCCTCTCCATCTTTAAGCCTAGCTTATCTCATAGGCAAACATAAAATGCACAGGAGTCTTAGTAATATATTTATATTAAATATAAATTTAGTAATATAATCTCCTCTCCTGACCTGGTAAGTGTTGGACAAAGTAACACACCAGCAGCTTCCATGGAGAGAAGCTGGGAGTAGCTGTGGGGCAGAAACCATGAAGGAAAATGCTGAAAATGCTAGAGGAGCCTCCTCTGTTGGGGGTTTTGCTCTTGACCTTCAAGCTGAGACTCACATATGTTGCCATTATTTAAAGCCTGTCAGGAAATCCAAGGTGAGGTCACTACTGAAAAATTGTTCAGAACTGTGGCTGTGGTGGTAAGTGCAGTGTCCGTTCATGGGCTGTGTTTGGGCTCTGTTTTTCCATACGGTGGCACTGGTGATGCTGGAAGCTACGTGCTGTTATCTATCTATACATGTTGTTTCTTTCTATCCCAGAATTCATGGGTGACCTGGAGAAGGGCACTGCACTGCAGAGCCGTTAAGTAGCTTGTTGTGTTGTGAATTTGGGTCTCCCCTTAGTTCTTGTTTACACATAGCCCAAAGGGGAAGAACAAATGAGGTTTCCAGCACCTTTAGTGAGATTTTCTTCTTTAACCTCTCCTGTTGGTTGACAGTGCCTGAACATGAGCCCAGGTGGGCAAGAAGGCAAGTGACACGTGGCCTGTACGAACGCTACTGTGGCCAGCAGGACTAGGACAATCCCCTGTACTGGTCACTGGTGAGGCCAAACCTTGCATCCTGGGGTCAGTTTTAGGCCCCTCACAACAAGAAAGACATTGAGGGGCTGGAGCGTGTCCAGGGAAAGGAAGAGAGCTGGAAAAGGGGCTGGTGCAGCAGGAGCAACTGGAGGAGCTGGGGCAGCTCACCCTGGAGAAAAGGAGGCTTGGGGAGGATCTGTCTCTCCACAACTCCTTGACAGAAGGGGGCAGCCTGAAAAGGATCGGTCAGGGAACAAGGGACAGGATGAGAGGAAATGAACTCAAGCTGTGCCAGGGTAGGTTTAAGTTGGATATTAGGGAAAAACTTCATGGAAAAGGTCATCAAGCACTGGCACAGGCTGCCCAGGGCAATGATGGAGTCTCCATCCCTGGAGGGGTTTAAAATCCATGTAGATGTGGCATTTAGGGGCATGGGTTAGTGGTGGGCTTGACAGTGGTGGGTTAATGGTTAGCCTCTTTGATCTTGAAGGGCTTTTCTGACCTAAATGATTCTGTGATTCTGTGGAAATGTGGCAGCAACGTATCTCTTCCACTTGTCAGAGACCGTGGTCTCTAATATGGTGTCAAGTTCTAGAGCCAGCTTAGCTCAGTGTTTTCACTTTGTTGCTTAGTAAAGCAGTGAAAACAGTTCTCATTGTGGTGTTTAGAATAGCAGTGCTGCCCTCTGAATTACCATCTAATTAAATGAAAGCAAAAACTCCAAAACAAGTGAGCTTTCTGTTGCATAAGAAAAGCTGTTTTGGTTGACCTAAAAACCGACATTGAAAACCAGCCTAAACAGAGATGCTTTCCCTCCCAGCTCTGTGGGCCATGCAGAGCAGTTGCTACTGTTCTTGGAGAGGCATTCATGCTGTGGCAGCTGTGAGCCCACTTCAAAACAGTTACGCCTTTGAGACTTGCTTCCCTTTTGCTTGATGGTTGGAGAAACCCTGCTGTGGAGACAAATAATTAGAAATAAAAGATGGCAGCTTAA